CTTGGTCCAAGTTCTAGTTTCGAGAAATGTGTAGCCAATCAACCTGCAGCTATTCCATAAAAGCTGCAAGGTGATTGGCTACGCATTTCTCGGAACTAGAACTTGGACACAGTTCTTGGATCGTGGACACAGGGCTTTAGCCTCTTGTCTACCAGAATTCTTACCTCGTTTTCGTCTAGCTCATACGTCACCTTCAGGAGTCGCACCTCTTTCTCCCATCCCTCGAAGGAGTCGCCGTTTCCATGGAAAGGGCTCAATAGCTAGATCCGCGATAGCCGACACATCCATCTCAGCTCGGTCGTCGCTGATGTCCTCGAGTAACGACCATCCACTGACTGAATTCCGCGTAACAACTCTATCACTCTATGCGCCAAGGCGAGCTCCCGTTTGGCCAGCTCGGCTTACTTCCTGGCGAGTTCTAACTCGCGTCAGTCGCATCGCTCTGACGTTGTTCCGGCAGGTATTACATGGGCAGCTTCGCCGGTTCCATCGTCGTCTCGTACTTCGCTATCCGCCGCCCATGCAGGGCTCGGATTCTTCTCCGTAAGCCTACGAATCAGCTTTGCTTTTGTCCCGGTGGGGATCACTCCCAGGGACTTGCACTTCTCTTTTAACACTTGTACCGAAGAATCACCGACGTTCTTCATCTTCCACGATTTATCCACAACTCAAGTGTGTGGATATACTTTATTATACGCAACGCAGATTACAGTTCGCGACATTCAGAGCCGTCTTCACTTCGCGATCGTTCTCGTAGGACTAACCGACAACGTAGCCTCGTCGACGACGATTGCTCGAACAAACAACTCTCGGCGATCTTTGCAGCCTCGTCGACGACGATCGCTCGACAAACGACTCTCGGCGATCCTGTCGCTACAGGACTTAGCGGGTCGCGAACACAGCCCCAACTCTCGCGCGCTCCTTACGATACAACAATACAATATTATGTAATAAAAACGTCACAGAATAATTAGTTTAATTGAATTGAAATGCTTCCATATTTCGGTTTAGTACGAAGAAAACGACTTGCAATGTTGGATCTTCTAATAGCAGCATCTCGTAATGGTCTTATGACTGATGCAGATATCAGGGAGGAAGTCGATACTTTTATGTTTGAGGTATATATTTGTAATTTTGCCTCTAATTCTGTTTAAACATTGTTTTATATGTATAACGATATACATACACATGTAATAGTAAGTTGACGTGTATGTACACATAAATCTATAATGTATTTGTATATAATTATAGGGTCATGATACTACAGCGATGGCTCTATGTTTCATTTTAGCACTCTTAGCTGAGCATAAGGACATTCAGGTATCTATTATTCCAATAAATAAATTTAACATTTACTTGACAAAAATGTAACGTAAATGTAGCTGCTATAATCTGTATTTACTAGGGCAAAATATAAGCCGCTATTCTTTGAAAGAAATTAATTTATTCCCAGAGGTATTAAAGATTTATCTATATTAACCTTTTAACATGTCTTTTTATATGTGTGTATACGTATGTACACATAAATGTGTAATGTTCACTTTACTTTTCAACATTAATATACATGCAGAGAATATTTATGTACCCGTTCGTGCATGCTCGTCATGATCACAAACATATTTCAAATATTCTGTCCTACATAGAAACTGGCTTTCAGTGGATATCCATGAAACCTTCGTAACTTCATGAGACATCTATCTTCATGGTGGAAGTCAGAGAGATATCTATTAGACATTCATGAAACTTCTCTAGCTCTATGAATTTCTACCTGTATAGTGGAAGTTAGACGGACGTCCATTAGAAATCCATGAAACTTCTATATTCTCATGAATATCTATCCCTATAGTGGAAGTCAGACAGACGTCCATCTAATGAATATTAATCTGATTTTCACCGTAAAGAGAGGCTTTCATTCTATTGATATCTATCTTCATGGTAAAAGCCAGTTAGACATCCAGTTTAGATACATTAAATCTCTATAGCTCCATGGATGTCTAACTCTATGGAAGTAAAATATGGATCTCTAAACCTCGTATCATATTACGAATAGATTGAGAGTGAGGTTGAATGAAATTTTACTATTCAGAGCGACGTTTACTAATCGTAGATCATTTTTATTGATCAAATTTCAATTTAAATGATTCCGCTTTGATTACGTCCATTAGACCTCTATTAGACATCTTTAAAGATATCCACTAGATGTTACGCTGACCATTAATAGACGATTTATGGAGCTTTCATGGATGACCACCTGATACCCTGCGGATCATTAAGAGAAGATTTGAGGAGGCTCGGTAGACGAATAACCAACTTTCCGTGGATCATTAATAGAGGATTCATAGAGTATGAATGGATGAAACCTTAGTATGGCTTTATTAAAAACCTTATGCAATTGTTATCAATCTTTAGTTACGACAACTTCACAAGAGACCCTATACATGGTATCTGACACAAGAATACTCTTACGACAAATGGTGGTAGATTGAGTCAGACTCAGAAGAGCAAGCATATGCCATTTTTTAAAATTTGCAATAGTTAAGGCATAACTTATTGAAACGTCTGAGCGAATGAGCGCGTAAAGAGCGGTAGGCGGGTTCGAGAGGCATGCGAGAGGCAGGCGCAAGTAGGAATGATAGTGCGAGCGGTGAGGGATACGGGACATAAACACATCGCTTGCTGTTAGTTTCCAGCAGTGATGGTAGATGGGCCGGGTTTTTGGTGCATACGCGGTGAAAAACTGGTGATAACTGATGAAAACAGTAACAGTAAAGTAACTAATACTAGAAAAAAGGTGTACCGTTGATCGCCCCTACATAAAACTCATATAAAAAATTTTGAATTAAAGGAAATAAAAGCTATACAGGGTGAGTCACAATATTTCTGCCAGAGCTCGTGAGAAGGTAGAACGGATCGAGATGAACAGAAAAGTCCTGTACCATTTGCAATTTTCGCAATAGTTGACGAGTAATTAATTATCAAAAATCGTCGTCTTTGCCCTGCCCACTGTCCAATTCGAGCACGTGGCGAGATGTGACCGCCCGGCGATCGATATTGCCAGGCGAGGGTGGGGACGCGAGACGCGGGAGCGGCGACGTAAGCTCGCCGGCACGGCGCGCTGTGCCCCCCCCCCCCCCCCTCGCTGGCAATATCGATTGCCGTGCGGTCACATCTCGCCGCTCGAATTAGACAGTGAGCAGGGCAAAGACGACGATTTTTTATAATTAATTACTCGTTAACTATTGCGAAAATTGCAAATGGTTCAGGACTTTTCTGTTCATCTCGATCCGTTCTACCCATGGTGGAA